CTCCAGAAATGCCTGTAAACACAGAGAAGGAAGATGGTGGGAGTAACTGGCTAGGCATGAACGGTGATGGGACAACAGGTCAAGGGATTCAAGTGTAGAGGGAAATGTACAATATTCAGAAAATCAGCTCATTGGTTGCTGGACAAAGGAATCATAGGTAGAATATCATCAGTTAAATAATTTAATAATTTAGATAGTCTTTGCATAGCCTTAGATAGATCTTTGCATGATCTGCCCTGTCCCTCTCTTTCTGCTCTTTTACTACTATCACTAATGAAATGGAAGTGGATTACACAGGAAGGAGAGCAATTAAAAAAATACTTTTTCACAAATGTCCATGGCTGAAGAACTTATTGCCTATAGATTAAACTTAGGTTGATAAGCCTTTCTACACTAAAGTGGGATGGTCCTTGGGCCTTATTGTACTGGAAGCCTTTCTAGCTTGGTAAAAGCTGTATGAGCTTGTACCCACCTGGCAAAGTCTTTGAGAACCTAAAGTCACTTTCACGCCATGGGACATTGGAATTGGACTTTTGTGGAGGAATTATGGCTATTTTTGTTCTTTTTTTGATCATTAAATTCCAGAGAGAAATTTTTTTATAGGAAAAGAAAACATACCAACATAGCTAAAAATTTACTAGGAACAAATAGTCTTATTGAATAGGTGATAGGGACTTTACTATTCAGTTTTAAATTTTCCAGACTTTTAGGTATATAAACCTAGTTTAAATAGCCTCTCTTGTAAAGATGCTGGATATTATTATTACATCTTTAGGAATGAGAGAATGGAGAGATTTAACTATCATTGCTGAGAAAGATTGTATGAGGCCCAGGGAGAAAGGATGAAGAGACATTTCCTAAGATACCGAATGAGGTAACTGTCAAGGAGAACGATTCTGCAGAGACATTTTCAGAGAAAAGAGTTTTGCTGTCACTGTGAAGAAGACATCTTGAGTAGAAATTTTAAATGCCATCCTAAGGGAAATGAATTGTTGGACTTCAAAAGTTGCAGCCTTTGGTTGGGCATGATACTGGCTGTGACTTTTCCCACAACAGACACATTGTTGAAATATTTAAATGTATTTGTATTGTATTGTATTGTAAAGTCTGTGACACTCATGTTTACTCAAGGTTATGAGACCAGTTGAGGTAGAGAGACAAGAGAGACTTGTGGAAAAAGAGCTTTCTCTGGTGCATTTGTAAGATGAGGTTTATAAAATATTTAATCTATATTTAATTAATTGATGAGAGATTCTGTGCTTCTACTAATTTTTGAGAAAACACCAAAATATACTCTTTGATATTTTTTAAACCCAAGATGAGAATTTATAAGGAAATTAGACAGTAGCAGTTAGAAAACGGGCGGGCTTGCTGTTGTCAGTGCACAGTCCATCATACCCCAAGTTTGGCAACGTGTAGGATTGTTGTCCCTAAAGCCTTCTATAAATATTAAATATTTAACATCTTGTAGGCAAAGCAACTCTCAGTGATCTAAATGCAATAACAAGGGCTTCCTAATTTTTTTCCTTCCTCTTGGGGCTTCTACCCAGCCTAAGAACAAGTAATTAAGCAAACCTGAATTAACTGATGATTAAATCAGGCAAATTCAGATTCAGCAGTGGGATAAAGATGATAGACAAACTCTACCAATGTATTAGTCTTCCATTTAGCTTAGTAAAAGCAAGAGTCTTTCTAGTACTTTAATCAGTGTCCAAGAAGATTTTGTTTCTAGAAGTTTCCATGGTTTACTAGGCCATTGCTCAACGTTTCAGCATCCAAGATATTGGCAGTGGCATAACAAAAATTCCACTTTTCCCCATGCTACAAACCCCAAAAGCTTGTTCTCAGATCCACAGTCTAGTGAGGAATCTATATTCTCTTAAATGGTGTCCCTATTGATTCAACTACTGCCAATCCAAGGCATTTGTGTCTTCCACTGTGAGGTTTGAAAACACTGTGAGCATTACTGCACATAGGAACCTTTAAGCCTTCCCTGTAATACTTATGATTTGACATATCATGAAATAGATGCCATGGAAAATGGAAATTTCAAAACATGTGCTCTTATAAAAAGGTATATCAAAAAGTATCTTTGATTGTGCCTCTTGAGCATTGCATGCTAGGTGGCTGCCTACCTTCCCTACCCCTTGCTCTAGTCTTGAAAAAGCTTCTGTTCTCTGAAAAGATCAGTCATCTTTTTCTTAGCAACTACCTAGCTAAAGAAAAAAAGTAAGTGAATGTGAGAAATTCAGATCCAGTTTATTGCATTGCTACTAAAGTTAAGTTAAACTTTATTCCCTCTTTCCTCTCCTCATAGTGAAGTAATCAACTAAGAAAAAGTAACAACTATTTAAAAGTTCAGAATTTAAAGACTGGGGGTTTGTTGCCAGCCACAGGTACATAACAAAATCAGGAATTTGGAACATAGAATTGAGATAGTGAATGCTACCTCTTCGAAAATTTACCTGGGATTTAAACCTTCATTTTCCTTTCTTTCACTTGCATAGAGACCAAAGGATGTTGGGGTAGGGGGAAGGGGTTAGGAAAAATCTTGGGGACTGAGGTTTATATAGCTCTTTCATATTTCCTTGAGAGACTTCTCTTCTCACCTCCCAAATGGAGTTTGAGGTTACAGGATCCCCAAAAATGTTGAGTGAGAATTAGAAGAATTTCTAACTAAATCAGATTATTGCCTGAGTCAACAGACTACAATTCAATTCCAGACACAATAGCTAAAAAGACAGAAACTTTTCTGGGGTGTTTTTCTTTGGGGCAGGGATAGAAATTGGGTCCCTGCAGGCTCTACTTAGCTTTATGGCTAATCTATATTACAAATGAAATTGGTCCCTGGAAGCAAGCCTCTCCATCTGGAGAAAGAAGCTAAGTTAAGAAAAGCTAAAAATGAAAATTGATTGTTTTCTCTCCCTATGAAGAGAAAATAACCAAGAACTTTTCCCTAGTCTGGTACTTATCTCCCTTGTGAAATGAAGCAAAACAAGCTAAAGCTTAAGCATCTAGAATCTAAGCTAAAAGTATGTGTATACAACTCCTTCTTTTATGGAGAGTAGATAAAATCTTAGCTGAAGAATCCTGATGAAACCAGAAAGTAGAAGTAAAGAGATTTCCACAACCACACACACACCTCAGAGCAGCACTCAGCAATAATCCTAAAATCAGTGGAGCACTACCTAACAAAGACTACATACCACATGAGACCAGTGTAGGGCAGTCCAGTAGGAGCAATGTGAGGAGATCATCAGAAGATATTGACAGTACTACAATACAGAAAGTCCAAGTTGGTCCTCTATACATGTGTCATGGCCATACATGTTCCTTACATATGTATCCCTCCACATGACATTCCTATATGGGTCCATTTGTCCCATTGAGAGTTTGTATTTGTAGAAGAGAGTGCCCTAGATTTATGGGGATAGTGATCTATTGCTATTTTTCCTCCTGTGTTATTTTATTACATGCCTTTATTTTGAATTGTGTCTTCTGGCTGACTAGTAAAATCAACAACATTGATGGGGGCTCATGAGCTTTTGTTTTGAGTTGATTTGTAAGTTTATAATTCCACTATCCCCTTACTTCTCCTATTGTTGCAGTTTAGTTAATGAATAATTGGAGTCACCCTGGCTTTGTTTTGGATATGGATGAAGTTGTTTCTGCCTGACTCATATGCTGTGTTACAGCTGTTCCCTGAGCAGGCTGCGTAACAGATATGAAGTCAAAGCCCTACAAGCTGTCACCAGAGGAGAATGGCATTAAGGACAGGCTGTTAAATTTCCCTTCTTGTGAAACAATTCCCTCTAAGAATTGAGACAGCAAATGCTTCTACTCTGATGCAAGTAAAAGGACATCTACTTTGTTCCTGGGAGAACAGATCACATGTCCTGCATCAAGAGAATTCCTGTCTAGCTGACAGATCCCCTTCTGTCTTGACAGAAAAGACCTGTCAAAGGCTAATCTTTGACCTATAAGTCAGCGAAATGAAAAAATAATCCATATTAATGCTGTGAGATAAGAGGGCAAGATATACTAGCAACATTGATATAGTGTATGTATCCCCATATAAATGTATGGGGATCGGTACTAGATTTCTGATTTCATTGATTTAGGGAACTTTCAGGCAGGGAAATACCCTTGGCAAATGTGGGTCAGCACCTCTTCTGTAACTTACAACAGTCTTAGAGAGCTGCCTACAGCAGTGATGCCAAACCTAAATGGAAACAGATCCCTGCTAGCCACATATTGACTTAGAAAACCACAGGTTAACATTATTGTGTTGTATTGTATTTTTGTTTATTTTTGTTAGACATTTTCCAGTTACATTTTAATCTGGTTCCCTGATAAATGTGGGAGTTTTGTGGCCACTTGTGGCCCCCCAAATTTGATTCAAAGGACAGTGACTTGCCCAGAGTCATACAGGCAGTATATAACACAGGTGAGACTTGAACCTAGGTCTCCCTGGCCAAAGCCATCTTCATATCCATTATGGTATGTTGCCTACACTCTTTCCCACCTCTCTCTCTCCTCTTTCTTTCCTTCTCTCTCTCTTTCTCTCGCCTTCCTCTCCTCCCTCCTTTCTCTTTCTGTCTTCCCCTCTCTTTCCCCCTCTCTCTCATCTCTTTCTTTCTTTCTTTCTTTTCTTTCTTTCTTTCTTTCTTTCTTTCTTTCTTTCTTTCTTTCTTTCTTTCTTTCTTTCTTTTTCTTTCTTTCTTTCTTCTCTCTCTCCTTCTCTGTCTCCTCTCTCTGTGTGTCTTTCTCTGTCTCTCTGTTTCTCTCTGTGTGTGTCTCTGTCTCTGTCTCTTTCTCTCTTGGTTCTGGCTCCTGGTTTGCCCCCTTTAGGTCTCCTGCCTTCCTGTGTAGCCTTCTCAAGGTCTAAGACCCCAGGCAGTCCCATAGCTGGCATTTTGTGGGCATTTCCTAGTCATTAATGAATAATGCATGTGTAGACATGTGTGGCTGTCTTCCTTTCTTTACTTTTTAACCTACAGTGTTTGGAACCAGACGCCCTGTTACTCATAGCTGGAGGAGATTTTGAAGATCATCTGAGTGAAGAAGTATTTCAGAGAATTTCCCTCCTCCTTCTGTATTACATAATTCATCAGGAAGAGATCTGTGCCTCCAAACTCAATCTGAGCAGTAAAGACTATCAGTTTTACTTGCACAGTTTACTTAGCTTAAGGCAGGATGAGGACTGTTACTCATTTTCCCAGAATGAGACAGAAGACATCTTGGCTTCCGTAAGGCAGCATTTTAACACGTCCAGAAGCCAGGTAAGAAAATCCCAAATGTGGAGGGTCTGAGTGCACCACTAAGGAAGAGGCTTGGGATTCATGCAAGTAGAGATTTAGAGATGGGAAGGTCCTGAGGCCATCTAGACCATGCCCTTCATTTTGCAGAGGTTGCCCAAGGTAGTAAGCTTCAGAGACAGGATTTAAACCTAATTTCTCTGACTCCAGCTCCATAACTCATTCTATTATACCATGAGTTCATCTTGGGCAAGCACTTATTCTTAAATTTCAAGAGTATCTATTCAAGGTTTCCCAAAAGCCTTAGTGTGGTTTTAAGCTTGAATAACTTAGGTTGTCCCTCTCTCCATGACCCCATTTGGGGTTTTCTTGGCAAAGATGCTGGAGTGCCATTTCCTTCTCTGGCTCATTTTACAGATGAGGAAACTGAGGCAACCAGGGTGAAGTGACTTGCCCAGGGTCACACAGCTAGTAAGTGTCTGAGGCTGGATTTGAACTCAGGAAGATGAGCCTTCCTGATTCTAGGCTCAGCACTCTAGTCACTGTGGTGCCACCAAGCTGCCCCCATTTGCCTATGGACTCTTGAACAAATTCACTTAAATGCCTTAGGTCTCCATTTCCTCCTTCGTGACACGAGTGAGTTAGACTAGATGGATTTTGAGTCCCCTTTCAGCTCCACAGCTATGATCCCATAACCTGGCAGGTATATGAAGGATGGCTTGGGGAGAGGGAGAGACCAAGGAGGAGAGTGTTTACTCCAGAGGATACTTTCCTGGCTCCTTCATGTCCATAAAATCCAGATTCGGCTCAGCCACTGCCATATTCACGTTTATCCAGGAGGGAGGGTTGAAAACACAGGATATCTGTCAGTGTATTTCACCTTCAAAGTGAAGAAAAACAAGAAACAGCTGCAGCCCCCCTTCGTCCCAGCTCCATCACTCATTATCTCCAGGAATGAAACAGGTTGCAAAAAGACTAGTGCTTTGCAGCACTCAGTACAAGCCAGCATCTCTCTGTAGCCCCTCATTAGTGCCCCATCTTTGCTCAGCTCTGCAGTTAGGTACTTGATGTCCCCTGCATTCTCCCTATTAGGCAATGTGCAGCCCCAGCTCCGGAGGCCTCTCCCACCCACTCCACATCAAAAACCTGACTTTTCAATTAACCTCTCCTTTGCTTTCTGACTCTCTGTGGGTAGTCAGGGGCGGGCTTGTTATCTGTGCTTCAGGGTGATCTTCCAAAGGCCCTAGGCAGCCACCTCCCATCACAGTTAGAGGGGTTTGGTACAGCCTGCTCTCCATCATAAATTATTTACTGGCAAGTATGGCTGGATTTGAATCTGAGTGCCAGAGCTGGTTTCCAGGAGCTCCAACTGTATCTCAGCAACCATTCAGAGGCCCTAAGCAAATATAGAGGAAAACAGTCTCCAAATTGCTACAAATGCAGCTCATTTGCTCTCAGTGTCTATGTAGCTGTAAGTTCCCCGGCTAATTGCAAAAAAAAAAAAAAAAGGAATGAAGGAAATGGATAGGAGAGCACTATTAACTAAATAGAAGGAAAATCACAACCACAAAGTTTTAACCCTTTGAATAGGAAAAATCATGTCAATTTCCTCAGTTTGGGGTTTATAAGAAAGCGCATCCTTCTCCAAAGAATTCTCCTTGCCACATGAAGAAGAGGAAATGCTGCACATAGATGTCATAGTGTAGAAAATGTACAAACAATGGATTGGTTCAGATTAACCACTGGAATTTCAGGCTTCCCATCCCCTGCTGGAGATCTGTCTTGTGACAAACATTAGATGCAAACTGGGAACCCAAAACCCCCAAAGTGGTGCTATATGTAGTCACTTTGGATTTCTAGAGTTTTGGAGTGTCCTTAAGAACACATATGGCTATGAGAGCCCCTGTGATGAGAGGAATAAAGCTTCCATGTTCAGAATCCACCAAAGATTGTAGGATCTTAGATTCAGAGCTGGAAGTGACCTTTAGAGGTCAGTAAATCTAGCTCCCCCATTTTATAGATGAAGAAAATGAGGGTTGGATAGCTTGTGACTTGTTCAAGGTCAAACAGCTAGTAAGTTCAGAGGTGAGATCTGAACCCAGGTCTTCCTGTTTTGAAGTCCAGCATGCTATGAATGATAACACCCAGCCTGCCATTACAATATTCACACGACAAAATGGGATGAGAATCACCTAGTTATTATTATTATTAGTGGTAGTGTTAACAGTGATGATAAGTCATTGGGAATAAGCAGGAGTCTAGTGCAGGGTGAGGAACCTGTGGCCTCAAGGTTCCCCACTCCAGTCTAGTGCATCAATATCGGACCTCAGTGTTAGAAAGACCTGGGCTTGAGTTCTGCCTTTGACATATGCTGGCCCTGAGTGAGTTGCTTAACCTCTTAATTCCTCCCAGACAAATCTCTAAGTCTATAAGGTAGAAAGCAAGTGCTGAGGTGTAAGGGTAAAGGAAATAATTCAATTCAATAAAGATTTATTAAGCACAAACAATGTGCCAGGCACTGTGCTAAGTGCCAAGGGTACAAAAAGAGGCAAAAGACAGTCCCTGCCCTCAAGGAGCTTACAACCTAACTGGAAAGATACTCGCTGGGACATCTTGATGCTGATAAAAATCTCAAAACCTACAAAAATGATGCTGATGATGCTGGTGGTGTTACTGTAGAATCACTGCAGATGGATGGGGATTTGAAAATAAGTAAATCAACTCAGCTTCAGTTTAATGTCTTTTTATTCCCATGATGGAATTCCCTGTGGATAATATCTGTATCTTCTCTAAATCATGCCACAGGGGGATAGAACATTCTACCTTGGGATGTGCTGTTAAATGTTTAACAATCAGCTTCCCCAAAAAATGTACACCAGACACTTTTAAATTGAATCTGTGTCATTAATATTTTCTCTACTGCACCATCAAGAAGGTGGATGAACATTGAAGAGAGTTTGGAAGGCATGACCTTCCTGGATGCAGTGAAAAGAATTGAGAACTCTTAGGAGTTTAAAGAATTTAACCTTAAATGATTATGCTCAGATTTGATTTCTGATTCCAAAGGATTTTGGGGCTAACTGGATAAAGTCATTGTTGATGCATTGATGAAGACATTGCTGAAGTCAACAGAGGTAGCTAGTTAGAACCAAAAGCTTAAGCTGAATTTATTGAGAAATGAGCAGGAGATAAAAACTTATTCACAGATGAGAAAATAAAAAATATATACATAGAGGAGACTTGCAAAGATTCAATTTGGGAGCAAGAAGAAAAGATATAGCTTTAGTTTAGTTTCTGACACGTTGCACTTGGAGTGACATGTAGATAGTTAAAAGGAGATGTTTAGGCATCTGTAAATAAGGGAATAGAGCTCTCAGAAGGGTTAGGTCTAGAAATAAAGAGTGTCTCAAAACTCTTAATATAGCTTAAAACTTGAAACTATACTAAGTTTTTTTAGGACACCTTATATAGATCTGAGAATCATTATCATTGTGCCCTATATATAATATGTAATTGAAAATATTTGTTGAATTGCTTTAAATAAATTAGGTAATAAATTTAGACTAAATTAGATAATAATTGTATACATGAGAACAGAGATGACCCTTCGGTTTTCCCCAAGAGAGAGAATGTAAAAATGAAGATTATAGAGCCAGGCTCCAAGTTTTTACTGATGCCTATGATTAAGGAGAATGAGTCAACAAAAGAGACAGAGAGGGTGAGCAGAGAAGTCAGAGAACCAAGGAAGTGTTAGAACATAAGAACCAATAAACCAATCAGTCATCAATCCACAAGCAGTTGATGCCTGCCTACAATGTGCCAGGAATTGTGCTAGGTACTGTGGACACAAAAACTAAAGTGAAACAGTCCCTGCCCTCAAGAAACTTACACTCTTTCAGGGAGACAACATATACTCATATAAGCATGCGTTCACACAAACTATGTATGAAACTAAAACACACATACAAGAGTCAATAAAGGGGCTTGGAGATAGTAGGTGGAGTGTCACATGTAAGGAACAGCAAGCAGGCCTGTTTGGCTAAACTGTTGAGTGTACAGTGGGGAATAATGTATAATAAGGCTGCAAAGGAGGTTAGAACCAGATTGTGATGGGCCTTAAATGCCCAAATAGAGAAAGTCGAAGAAGAAAGTTTCAAGAAAAAGCATTAAAATATTAATGAGAATTTTTGAAAAGTGCTTAAATGGTCCAAGACTGTTCCCAGCCTTGTCAGAGATACTACCAACGTTTAACTTGAATGATGAATGAAAATTAAAAATATTCTTCCAACATGTGTCTTGATTTCAGTGTGTGGAGACCAAAATTCTACAACAGAAATCTGGAATAATAAGCAATAATGGTGCTGACGAGAACACCCTTCCTCGGCTAGCTGCTACCATCATTTCTTTGTCCCTTCAAGGAGTCTGTCTGGGCCAAAGAAGCTTGCCCTCCCCAGATTATTTTATGGAATACATTTTCAGTTCTCTGAATAGTACCAACACTCTCCACCTACCAGGTAAGGATGCTTTATTGGAATTTCACTTCTGTATCCCTCCCGCCATGGAAACCAGGCTGACTAAGCAAAGATTAATGGGGGGTTACAGAATTACTTCAGCTAAGGCTGAGTCACCACTTTATCCTTTAATATGCATAAAACATGTGAACAGGGTTACAAAACAGGCATTGGCCTGAGTCCAGAGCTGAGTAGTTATTCTTGAGCCTTAAACACAATGAGGTATGAATGTTGACTAGAGATGGAAACCAAAGTATTCTTCCACAACTATAAGCTGAGTACTCCAAGATGACTGGCACTGTGCAGCAGTTATGGTCAGTTGTGGTCCCTGTGTTTAAAAAACTTGCAAGTAAAAGCATACTCCAAGGGGAAGAAGATTCCCAGAGGTATCAGACTCGTGGCCCATGGGTCATAGGGAGCCCGCAATACTCCTGAGGGCAGCCTGAGCCAGATTGAAATGCAGGATCCATCTGATTTTAATGGGTTGATTTGTTAATGAAAAAGAAATATAGAAGCACACATGGTTTTCTTAGTCAATGTGTAGCCTGCAAGGAACCACACACTGTCCTAGAACACTTTAGAGCCAAAATACAGCCCTGGAATTTTAGGAATGGGAGGGATCTTAGGGACTATCTGATCCAAATCCTGTATTTTATATATATAAGAAAACAGATGGGTCACACATTAATTACTGAGATACATAACAAGTACCTAAATAGCCTGCACTAAGACACCAGTAGTGATGGTCGTCTGTGCTGTTCTTCTGTAGGGCCAGTTGCAAAGGGAAGGAGAAGGGAAAAGGAGTAAGTATTGACATGGCACCTTCTATGTACCAGGCACTGCCAAGCACTTTATAAATATTAATTCATTTGATCCTAACCCACAACCCTTTATGATGGTTACTGTTCTTATCCCCATTTTGCAACTGAGGAAATTGAGACAAACAGAAGTGATTTACCCAAGGTCACACAGCTAGTAAATGTCTGAGGCTGGATTTGAACTTAGGTCTTCCCAACTATCCGTTATAACACCTAGCTGCCTACATTCAGTGAGAACAGCGCCTGATTTGGAGCTGGAAGCTTGGGTTCCTGCTGCTCATTGACTATGTAGTCTTGGGAAAGTCTCATCACCTCTCTGACACCATTGCCTCATCTATGAAGTGGAAATGATATTTGAAGCACACAGAGTATTTCATAACATGAAGTCAAATGACACAACAAACGTAAAAGTGCTTTGTGAACCAGAGAGTCTTCGAGAAATGTTTTTACTTTGTTATTACTATTTCCTGAAAAGCCCCTCGGAGAGTTACAAACCAAAGTTCTAACATCTAAAGGGGTAGGTAATTGCCAACTTGGTAGGGTCAAGAACATCTTCCTGGAGGAGCTGCCATTTGAGCAGGTCTTTGAAGGGTGGAATTTACCAGGTGAAGAGAAGGGAGGTCATTGCTAGGACAGGCATAGGGAAGGACATGGAAACACGAGAGGTTTGGACATGCCCAGAACATGCAGGATAGTTCAGCTTGTCTAAGACATGGAGTCTTTGAAGGGAATGAATATAAGATAAGCCCAAGAAAGTAGATTGTTGCTAACTCATGAAGCACCTAAAATTACAGGAAAAGATGTTTGCATATTATTCAACAATCACTGGGAAGTCATTGAATATGTTTAAGCAGAGGACCTCTGCATGACCAGACCCCTGCGGAAGTACAATTATTCTGGCAGTGATGTGAAGAATGGATAGGAAGGGAAAAGGGTAGATATAGGAAGCTCTATAAGGAGCTAGTATAGGTCTAAGGTCAGATTTGAATTCAGGACTTCTTGACTCTAGGCCAAGCTAGCTACAACTGAGAAGTTATGAAGAATGGAGAAAGAAAGCTTAGGGAGCTTGTAATGAGGAAGTCAGATGGTCTCAGGCTACCACCTTACCACCTATTATATTAAAAATATTTTTAAAAAATTTTAATTATATTAATTATAAGTATTTTTTGAAAGGATATTTATAAAAGCCAGGGAAACCAGTTAAGTGGATATGACAATGGAGAGCATTCCAGGCTTGAAATGGAGGATGGAGGATGCAGTAAGAGGATTATTGAGTGGCAACAAAGACCCAGGTGAGGTGTGAGATCTCTCCCACTCTCAAATTCTCTGAGTCCATGATTCTGTGAGGCTCTGTACCATTTATTTGTATGAGTGAAATCAGTCTGATTTTGTCATTTTTTCCAATGATACTCAGCAGCCCAGAGACACAAACAGACGAATCAGATGTCAGGTTTATCCTGGAGCAAGGATCCCCACGTTGAGTTTGGGGGAAAGGGACTGTAAGATGGTAGCTATCTGACCATTGAAATAACAGATCATTTGATACAGGCTCAATAGAGTCTAGAACAGTGGGAGACGGTCTAGGTGAACAGCGATGGTGAATATCAAAAGACTGGGCATGATGAGGATGAACTGTATGTTTTTAGTGCAAATGACAGACATTCAGAGACAGACAGAGACAGAGAGAAAAGGTTAAGATGATGAAGCTCTCGTGGAACAAAGTTTCTGACAGGGGAGGTGAAGGGATTTAAAGGGTGACCGTGTCTTCTCTCTGTTGCTGAAGTCAGTTGGTAGAGAATAAGGTCAATTGAGTTGGAAAGGTTGGAGAATAGTGTGAGGGCTTGTCAGTGGGAACATCAAAGTCCTGAATAATATTAGGAAGGCAACATGTATGACGGAGAGGGAAACTGTGAGCCAGGCACTGAACTCAATAAGAATGTTTTGACAGAATGTTAAAATGCCCAGGGCAAAAAGGAGGTAGTATGGCCTTGAATCAATTTTGTGATTCATTTGTTGAAACTAATAAAATAATTATGATTAATTTAATTGAATTGGAGGTGTACTTAGTGACCTCAGTGGCTTAGGGGCTGGCAGCTTAGAACTGAAAGGGCCTCAGCCAACACTAGGGACCCACGTTCTTTTCACTCTACCAGAAATGGCTCTTATAGACTCCCTAATCTGTCTCGCCCCCATAGTCACACACTTTCAAAAGGGTTTGAGGAAGGGAGGACTGCTATTCTCCTGTATGGTATAGCATGGAATGACCTCTACTTCCAGCCAAACTAGCCACTTCTTGTTCTCTGTGCTTGCTAGTTCATCCCCAGTCTATGATTTGGGGAGTTTTTTTGCACAAGCTGACCCCTGACCTCTACGTTTTGAAATCTCATTTTCCTTTCAAGTCTCGACTCAATCACCTCCTCCTCCAAGAGCTTCTTCCTAATTTCCTCAAGTTGTTCTTACTCCTATCCTCTCACCAATTACACTGATTTATTTTCTATATGTTTGGTATTTACCTCACTGTGCCTATGATCTTTCTCCCAAGTAAAATATAAACTCCATGAGGGCACTGGCCAAAGTCAGAAAACCTAGGTTTAATTCTAGATTCTATGCTTACAATCTGAGTGACCTTGGACAAGTCATTTATCTTGCCTGGACTTTAGTTTCCTCCTCTGTAAAGTTAGCCTCTGAGGTCTCTGGGCTCTAGATATGGATCCCCATGACTAATTCATTTTTGTCTTTTCATTCTCATATATAGCACCATGTCTGCCACATAATAGGTGCAGAGGAAATACTTGTCGAATTAAATTTGATGGGCTTGGATTCAATTACAGGCCCACAGGGTGTCGCAATAAAGAACTGCTGGATGGAGCAGGAGGGAGAAGTAGGGTTGTGCAGGGCATCAGAAGCAAGGAGGCTAAGTCACGGCATCAATGAAAGGAAGATATCAGTTGCAGTCAATGTGAGATGGAATGCTGTGGGTTTAATAGATAATCTGTCCTTGCTGGAGCCACATAGAAAGAGAGAGAGAGACAGAGAGAGAAGAGAGAGAGAGAGAGAGAGAAGAGAGAGAGAGAGAGAGAGAGAGAGACAGAGAGAGACAGAGAGAGACAGAGAGAGAAGAGAGAGAGACAGAGACAGAGAGAGAAAGAGACAGAGACAGAGAGAGACAGAGACAGAGAGAGAAAACCACAGACAGAAACAGAGAGAGAGAGAGAAACACAGACAGAGAGACAGAGACAGAGACAGAGAGAGAGAGAGAGAGAGAGAGAGAGAGAGAGAGAGAAGAGAGAGAGGAAATTTTACCTAAACTCATAAACTCATTAGTTGGCTTTGGAGACAGTCCCATTTTGCCATCATGAACTGGTGGTCACTGCATAAATGCAGAGATTTGTTTAGGAAAAGGGTTCTTAACCTGGGTCTGCAAAACTCTTTTTTTTAATGTGTCTTTTAAACCCTACACTTTAGTAGAATTAGTTTCCTTTTAGTTCTATGTATTTTATTTTATTCATTTAAAAAATTATTCTAAGAAGGGAACCCATAACACTGCCTAAAGGATCCATGACACACAAAAGGTTAAGAGTCATTTAAAACTAAATAATATATTAATAAAACAACAGTCTCAATGAGCTATCTGAGATTAATTAAGCAATAAGTACTTGTCAATCTGCCTTCTATATGTCAGGCATTGGGCTAGCCCAGGGGTGGGGAACCTGTAGGCTTGAGGCCACATGTGGCCCTCTAGGTCCTCAAGTGTGGCCCTTTGACTGAATCCAGACTTCACAGAATAAATTCCCTTATTGTTCTGTGAAATTTGGCCTGGAGGCACAGATTGCCCACTCCTGGGCTAGGCCATGGGGATGCAAGTACACAGAATTAAATATTCTTTCTTGCAAGAAGCTCACATCCTAAGGAAAAAGATAAGTACATAAAAATATATATACAGCTTCAATATAAATGGATAAATACAAATATATACAAAAGAGTAAAATACATGATATTTGGATGGGAAGACACTAGAAGCTGTGAGGATCAGGAAAGATCCCTTCACACAGAAGGTAGTATAGGAAGGAAGAAAGGAATTTTATGAGCCAGAGGGTGAGAGTGAATTCCGGGCATGGGGGCTGACCAGTACAGACACACTGAAACTGGAAATGGAATGTTGTGTGTCAGGAAGAAACAAGACCT